CCAGACCGCCGACGGCTACGGTGAGAGGCCCCCGCCGAGGGGCCGCGGCCCCCCCGGCTCGGTGGGGAGGTGTGGACGCACGGCGAGGACGGGCTTGGGGCGCGGAGCGCACCTTTACCTGGCTCCTCACCCTGGGGGGAGTCGTCTCCAGCCCCTGGCTGCTTGCGAGGGGGGTCTGATTTGGAAGGGCAAGAGGCGTCCTTTGGGTGCCCTTGTCATGCAGGAGAGGGAGAAGTCGCGTGTGCTTGTGGGCAGGTGCAGGAGCGCTGACTGGAGCCTCTCTGGGCCACCTTTTCACTGTACGACTTGTTGCAGATGCCAGCGTGGACCTGTTGCCAGGGCTGTTACTGAAGAGGGACCAGACCTCGGTAAGTGGAGGGCCAGGTTCTCCTTGTTCCCGCATGGTCTGCGAGGGTACAGACAAGTAACACTGGAGCTGCAACTGCCCGGCTCTGCTCCAGTCACCTCTCCCTCTGTGAGCAGCCAGGAAGGGAGCTGCTGTGGTTAGGCGCACAGCTGCATGGAGGTAACTGCCCTTTTGCTTCAGTTTCGCTGTATTTCGTGAAACTGTTTGCTCTGTCTGGTGAAGAGGATCAACAGGAGTTAGCAGCACACCAGTTTTTCAGGATCTATTTTGCTGTAACTTTTTAACAAGCTTTCAAGTGTGGTTGATGCAGTGGTAGTGCTCAGAGGAGAGCTTCTCTGACTCGATAAGAGCCTTTGGCCCATACTGCCGGCCTTTGATTGAGAAATTAGAATGTACCAGGACGACTTTGCATCATACTCGATTAGAGATAAAATCTTGGCTAAAGATTAGATGTCAGGATGTTACAGGTGGGGAGTTAGCATGGAGCAGCTGTTTCCCACAGAGCTGCTGCAGGGAGATTGTAAGTCCTGCTTTAGAAACGGCTGTGGTTGTCATGATTTGAGGAGCAGAAAAGTTTGGAAGTAGCTAATCCCTGTGACTTGTAAGAAATCAGAATGCGTTTGCTAATGAAACGCGTACCTGCTCAGGAGAGACCTGGGTTGCCTTCTGCATTGAGTGTGCATGTGTTTTTGAGAGGTGTGGTTGTACATCTGCAAAGCGAAGATGGAAATAGCTTTACAGGCTGGGCACTTTCTCCACCAGGCTGGTCTCTTATGGATTTCTCCCTTCTTGGGGTAATGGGTTGAGCACAAGAACTCCTAGCGTGGAGACTGAGACCTAATGTGATCCCTGCATGTCTAAATGGGAGCATTAGGTGAGAGCTGGATGCTGTTGCTTGTTTTGGCACTGGAGTAGCTGTTGCTGGGTTTGCTGTCTGGTTCTTGTGTCCACAACTCAAAAGAGATATTCAGAAAAATTGGAAAAGATTCAGAGAAGGCCTGGGGGGCCTCTCAAGTTTTGGAAGATAGGTCTTACTGAGAGATTTGAGGAGCTCAATTTAGTTTACAGAGTGACTCAATCTATCTGTAGGTGCTGGGCCACGATTCCAGTAACAAGGCGCTCTTCAGTCTAGCATGCAGGTCTGCAGCATGCTCCAGTGGCTGAAGTGTTGCCTAGAAATATCTAGGAGCGTTCTTGGTCAGCCACAAATATTTGACTTGACACAGGAGTAAGTTGGAGTGGGCTGAAAGCCTAGCTAAGTCCAGAGGCCAGGTTAAAACACTTGGCTCCTTCTTGCCTTCACATTTAATTAATTGCTTTTTATCTCTGTCTTGATTGATCTAGTGCCTAACTTGAGTTTGTTCCAAACTGGCTAGCGTTTAACATGCTGGGGAAAGAAAATGCTTAACGTCTAGGGTGAAGGTAGGTGTAGGGTATTCTGGAGCAAGCATTGGGAGGCCAGGTTGTTGTAGCAGAAGTAACTTGGCTGACCCAGGTTCCTGAAACCAGAAAAACTGACTGCGAGGAAGAGTGTACGGTTAGGGTCAGCCAAACCCTTTGCCTTGCTGAGGCAGAACTGTTGTGTATATAAGCAGTTGATTTGGGACTTCATTCCTGAGCCAACCACCTGGCCTGATCAGCTTCCCTAAATTGTACTTGAATCTGTCCTAGTTCCCTGTCCTACTTCCCTCCTGCCTTCCTTCTCTCTAGGCACAAGGGATTGATCTCTTTTCTCTTGGAGTCCTGCTCTTTGGACTTCTGCTGAAGATGCTTTCGATTCTTTCAACTCCATTCTTTGTGCCCTAGATGGTAAATGCCAAGAAACTGGAGAAGGCAGAAGCCAGGCTGAAAGCCAAGCAGGACAAGAGGATGGAGCGGGATTCCCTAAAGTCTTCTGGTCCTCTGTGAGTAGGGAGGGTGGCTGGAAACACTCCCAGCCTGCTCTGCTGAGTATGCCTGGATCCGACCAAGCCAGAGCTTTCCTGTTGAACTCCCTTCTCTGTCTTCTGCCTGCCTTGCAGGGTCCTTGAGGAGGCATCTGCCAGCCAAGCTGCCAGCAAGAAGGAGACCCGCATGGAGTCATCAGGCAAGAACAAGTCATATGATGTGCGCATCGAGAATTTCGATGTGTCCTTTGGCGAGCGGTGAGTGCAGATAGCCCTGGTTGGGGTTTCAGGCTGGGGTAATGAGGCTGGTTCGAAAAGCGGTCGGGAATGACAGAGGGTATGGAAAGGAGCAAGGTGAACACCTAATCCTGTTGGCTTTGGGCAGGAAAAGCCTGTGAAGGTTGCTTGGCCCCAGCACAGCCTGAAATCTGCTTGGGGCAGGCAGCTGCCAGTTGCCTCCGTTTCCACAGGACAATCTGAGCAGGAGCTACCTGCCTGTTTTCTCGCCTTAGTGTCCTACTCGCGGGGGCAGACCTGAACCTGGCATTCGGACGGCGCTATGGGCTGGTGGGCAGGAACGGTCTGGGCAAGACCACACTGCTGAAGATGATTGCCAGCCGGAGCCTGCGCATCCCCTCGCATATCAGCATCCTGCATGTGGAGCAGGAGGTGGCGGGGGACGAGACGCTGGCCCTGCACAGTGTGCTGGAGTGCGACACTACTCGTGAGAACCTGCTACGGGAGGAGAGGGAACTGACAGCCAGGGTTAATGCTGGCAGGTGAGATGTTGCATCTGGGTTTTCAGCCCTTCTACGATGTCTTGAGCGTGAGGTTTTGTTCTGAGATCTCTCCCTTCCAGTGGAAGGCTCCATCAGGGCTCGGATGCATTTCACCCACTTTAGTCCTGCTTGGGGAGATCAGCTTCCCCCAGCACTCAAACCTTGACCTCAGTCAGTCCCATGTGCTTCTCTTTGCTCGGCTCCAGGGGAGAAGGGACAGAAGGTGCCAGGCTATCAGAGATCTACGCGAAGTTGGAGGAGATTGAGGCAGACAAGGCACCAGCAAGGTGA